CTCAGCTGTACTAAGATATTGTACTGAACAATGCTTAAAAATCTTGGGCTGAAACCATCTTTGGACAGTACTGGGATATTCCTGTGGTGCTCAAATAGTATGTATTTTTCTATAATTTGGACAGTGAAATTGATACTACAGGGATTTTGTGTTTGCTATGCCTGATGCAAGGCAGATATGGTCTAAGAGAATAAAATCTATGGACACTCAGGAAAGGAGAGACCTAAAGAAACTTCTTTGATAGAAATACAGTGAGTATTATTTTGATGTATGCTATGGAAATTCAAGACACATCCCATTACTCCATTTGTCCTGAAAGGCAGCTACTACTTATAGAGCACTTACTTTATGCCAATCACCAACCTAAGCACTTTAAATGTATCAGATAAATCCCGTTTGCCCCTGTTGCTCCCTCTCTTGGGTCATACAGCAATCTAGGATTATCTGGCAGGGGTTTGGGCAGTGTGACTCTCCAGCCACCACACTGTGTTCGGTTTCCACGATACCCACCCCCACTGCCAGCTCCATGGGTGGACTGAACTTTCTCAGGAGCCATGTGGCAGTAAAGCACAGGGCCCGGACCCTCACTAAATCCAACCCAGAGGCCATCCCCAATACTCCACCTCTGGAGTTTGCCAGCTCCACTTCCTCCCCCCTCAGTACAGTCTCTTTGAACTGTCTGAACTCCCCCAAACAAAAGCCTTATGAGTCGGGGGAAGTAGGGTAAGGGCTCCTGGCACTACAAATTTTCCCTCGACTTAGGCTCGGCAAATTAAGCAAATAGGATGCCCAGCTAAATTTGTATGCCAGATAAATAACAAATAACTGGGAGTGGAGGGCATACTCACACTAAAAAATTATTGGTTGTTTCTCTAAAATATGAATTTAACTGGGCATCCTGTATTTTACCTGGCAACCTTACCATCACTCCCCCTTCCTCCAGCTTTGCAGCATAAAAGCCATCAGGAACCCTCTAAGGATGGAGAGCCCAAACTCAGAACACAGAAGCTTCTTGGATGGGGAAGCAAAGAACGTAAACATATCTCACCTTGGTTTGAGTCTCTTATGGCAATAGACTAAAGCATGCATGAACAGCTCAGTGATTACCCTGCCACTGAGGCCAGGTGATAGCTAATGGCAAGATTTTTAGAATACCGTCTCTGTGACAAGGCAAATTTGACATTCTAACCTAGAGCAGGCTCTTGATAGTCAGAGGTCTAGTCCTGAGACCTTCCCAAATTCCCAAATTCATGAATACCACTTTAGTGTAAAGTTTAGTTGAAAATTTTAAGTTAGCCTTCAGACTCTTAGTGATTCCTGTACATACAGGACGAGAAAGTCCATTATGAAACAGCCTTCCGGCTAAAAATGATTAGATGCCTGTTAGCTTTTCCTTAACTTTAGTCACCAGATCTAGCCCTGATTTTCATTTCAGGCCATTTTTTGTTAAGAAATATGTTTTATCACTTCACACCAGCAGGATTACTATAATAAAAAAGACAGATAATAACAAATGTTGGCAAGGACGTGTTGGAATTGGAACCCTCATGCATTGCTGGTGGGGACACAAAATGGTGCAGCTGTTTTGGAAGACACTCTGCCAGTTTTTCTGAAGGTTAAATATACAGTCATCATATGAAGCAATAATTCCACTCCTAGAAACACACACAAGAGAAATGAAAATAAATGTTCACACAAAAACTTGTACATGAATGTTCATAGCAGCATTTTTCATAATAGCCAAAAAGTGGAAATAAACCAAATGTCTCTCAACTGATGAAGGAATAAACAAAATATGGTATACTCAAACAATGGAATATTATAAAAGGAATGAAATACTGATACATGCTATAACATAGATGAACCCTGAAAACATTATAAGTGAAAGTAGCCAATCACAAAAGACCACATACTGCACAATTTCATTTCTTTGAAACATCCAGATTGGGCAAATCTGTAGAGACAGAAAGTAAATTAGTGGTCGCCTAAGGCAGGGCTCAGGTGAGTTGGGGAAAGAGGAGGCAATGGCCCAGGGGTGCGGATTTCTTTATAGGGTAATGAAAACGTCCTAAAATTGATCATAGTGACAGATGCACAACTAGGAATATTCTAAAAACTACCGAATTGTATACTTTAGGTGAACTGTATGGTATGTGAATTACGTCTCAATAAAACTGTTATAAAAAAGCAAAGCAAAGCAAGTTTTTATCACTTTGTGACCGTGACCAAGTTTGAGGAGGAGTAGAGAACAAAAGAGCACTGAGATGTGATGCTGGGTGGCCGGTTGGGCTCAATCACCAGCTAAGTGGCTTCTGAAACTTCACTAATAAAATCACAATTCTGGAGGGCAGTCATGCGGAGTCAAACCATGAATGCTAAATCCGTTACACATTCCAGTAGTCTACTTTTTTTTATGTGTCTTCTAAGGAAAAAAATTTAAAGTGCCTAAATAGCAAGTAGTCTGAAATGATAGCAGCTGTTTATTAAAGACTATTTTAAAAAACGACATCTTCTTCAATAATGACACTCAGAATCTTCCATGTTAAAGATGCTCTAATTTCACATTTGCTCAAGTATTGATTTGATTTAACCAATATGACACCAATCTAGGATAAAGTGTGCAAACAACATAATTTCATTTCCTCATTAATCAAAACTGATAAAGGAAAAAGTTAATTAATGAGGGAACCAATAGGATGTTACAAGCTGTTCAAAGAATTCCAAAAACCACATGTATACAAGACTATCAAGAATGATGAAATAACCTCGATTAATAGATGAAAAAAACTGATTAGACAGGCAATGACTGTGCAAGAGTCCCTTATGTTAGCAACACAAACTCGAGTGCATGGCTGGGGTGTTGAAAGGGCTGTGTAACCAAAGATGGACTGGTCCGACTTGAGATGTCTTTCATCTAGCTTCCCACACTTGGTAGGATTGGGAAAGGCAGTATTGTTTTTCAAAATCATTTAAGAATTTCACAAGAATAAAACCCAACCTTGACTTCTGTCTTTCCTCACACCCGACATCCAGTCTGTCAGGAAACCCTGTTGATGATCTTCAGAATGTATCCAGGATCTGACCGCTCCTCACCACTGCTAGGACCCTGGTCAGAGCCACTATCATCTCCCACCCAGACATTGCTACAGCTTGGTCTCTCTGCTCCTACCCGAATCTTCCTGCAGTCTCTTCTCAACTCAGCAGCCAGAGGATCCTTTTAAATCAGGACACACACAAAATAAATAAATAAAAAATAAATCAGGACACAGATCATGTCACCTCTATGCTCAGAACCCTCTTGTGATTTCCATCTCAGTCAGAGTAAAAGCCAAAGTCCTGGCAATGACCTCCAGGGGCTCAAGTAATCTGCAGTGACCCTGGCTGAACGACTCTCTGGCCTCCTCCCCTACTTCTCTCTCTGCTCCACTGGCCTCCTTCCTGAGCCCCAGACACACCCGACAGCTCCCTCCTTGGGCCTTTATTCTGTTCCTTCTGCCTGAAATGCTTTTCTCCCAGTTAGCCACTTGGTTGGCTCCTTCACCTCCTTCAAGCCTTTGCTTAATTTTCACTTTAATGGGGCAAACCCTGACCACTCTATTTTCTATTGCTCTCTGTGCCCATTCCCGCCATTAATTTCCAATTCCTGCTGTAACAAATTAACATAAACTTACTGGCTTAAAACAACACAAATTATCTCACAGTTCTGGTGGTCAGAAATCCAAACGAGGTCTCGGAGGACTAAAATCAAGGTGTCAGCAGGGCTGCATTTCTTCTTGAGCACTACACTCATTTCCAGATGCTTTCTAGTCTTATCCGGATTGATGCCAGGCACCTCCAAGAGAATAGCTCCCCAGCTATATTCATTATATGCACATACGAAACAGATCCCTTTTTTCTCATCAAGACTTCCTACTCTTCCACTGTCCACATCAAACCAGTCATAACAAACCTTATTGACTTTACCTTCTAAGAATCTCTGGATGGTTTCTCTTCCATTCCACTTTTATATATATATATATATATATATATATTTTTTTTTTTTTTTTTTTTTTTTTTTGAGAAAGCTCAGCCCTGAGGTAACATCTGCCAATCCTCCTCTTTTTGCTGAGGAAGACTGGCCCTGAGCTAACATCCGTGCCCATCTTCCTCCACTTTATATGTGGGACGCCTACCACAGCATGGTGTGCCAAGCAGTACCATGGCTGCACCAGGGATCCAAACTGGTGAAGCCCAGGCGGCCAAAGGAGAACGTGCGAACTTAACCGCTGCGCCACCGGGCCAGCCCCTCTTCCATTCCACTTTTAACCTCTCGGCTATTGCAACTGAAATTTTGGAGTCCAATGTGCGAAAATTATTAAAATTTTAGTAGATAGTACCTATCTAATTTCCTGCCTTTCTCGGTGTTTCTCTCCCTCCCTCCTTCCTTCTTCTTTCTCTTCCCATCCAATCCATTGTCCATGCTGCCACCAAAGTTATCTTTCTAAACAGCAGATTTGGTTGCTACTCCGCCACTTCAGAATCTTTGGTTGATCCCTGTGGTCTCTAAGAAAAAGCCCCATCTTAACACTGCACACAAGTCCCTCCTCATCTGACCTACCTGCCCTCTTCACTGCACAGAGAGGCGGCGCCTGGTGCTTGTGAACAGAGCAAGCTCTAAAGTCGGACCACACACTAAATTTGACTCAGTCTTAATATCTGTATGAACTTGGGCAAATCACTCATTATCCCCAAGTCTTAATCACCTCATCTGTAAAATGGGGATAATTTTGGCACCTACCTGTGTTTTTTGTGAGGAGTAATGAAATAGTGTGCTTGATGTTATTGTAGTTATTGTCATTATTCTCTTTCCAAAGCATTCCAGGCACACTTAACACACCAATCCCTGAACAAAGTGTGCCATCTTAATTGTCTAGGCCTTTCCAGTGCTATTTTTCCTGTCTGGTTGGCTCCCTCCACCCCCCATTCCATTTCCTCTTTGCCTCCATGTATTTCTTCCTTACCTTTCAAGATCCAGCATAAATGTCGTCTTATCTGTGGGGCTTTATCTCACTCTCCCAGGCAGTTTCCAATAGCATTTGATTTATGCACTATTATTTGATCATTCTTGAGTTACTCCCATGAATGGCATGTTGCCTTGTCAATCTTTCTTCCTCAACTGTGAAGCCCAGGTTACAGCCGCTTGGAAGGGATAAAAGACATCCTGAATAAAAAGAGGGAGTACACAGACAGATAAGTACTTAAAAGTTTTTACTGGCATGAGAAAAGTTACCAAAATTCAAAAGTTTCTGGGGAAAACTTAGGGAGGAAAATGTTGCCAGGAAATGGGATAAAGGTTTACTTTTTAATTATGTAATAGCAAATTTCAAAAGAGCCTAAATGTCCACAGGGCCTGGTTAATAAATTGTGAAACATCCATATTATGAAACACTATATGACCATGAAAAAGATTAAAGTAGATCAGTAGGTATTAGCATAGATGTCCATGATATATTAAGGGGTGAAAATATGAAGTGAGATCTGCTTTGTGAGTGTGTATCTGGAAGAATATGCTCCAAATTGTTAACAGTAATTATTTCTTAAAATAAGGGCATGGAGCTAAGGAGTGGAGAGAAAATTTTCACATCTTCATTTAAAAGTAAGCATTTACTATTTTTATAATTTAAAAAAATATTAAATAAATAGATCTTCAAACTGATACATTAAATCTATAAATAGATGCGGGGAAAACATGGACAGATAATTTAGAAAAAATTGATCTAATTAACATAAGGAAAAATAGTGAATTTTGACAAACAAGTAAAAATAATAGTGAGGTCTTTTATCTCTACAAAATAGTCAAACTAAAAATAACCTATTTCATTATAATACCTCATGCTGGCAAAGGTATACTGAAATGGACACTTTCTTGTACTATAGTACAAATTTTAACTTTTAATTAATTTAAATTTAATTTTTAATTAATTTAAATTTTATATAAGCTTTTAGGAATAAAGCTTGGCAATTTGTATATATGTTCATGTCATATGACACAGTAATCTCACCTCCAGAAATATAATTTTTGGAGATAAATCAACCTAAAGTAAAGGTCATATGCACAAAGACAGTGAAAATCTGGGAGCAATTTGAGGTAGAGTGGTTAAGTAAAATAAGGGACAGTCGTGGGGAATTAAACAATCTATGTTATTTACAGGCACCCAGCAAAAGCTCAGTTCACGTTAGCTATGGCTTTTATTACTATGGCAATTCCACTCAATTAAAAATGCCTGTCATTAAAAGTTAACATTGTCAAGTCTATGGACAACAATGTGTCCTAGAGTATAGCTACATAAAAACATATGTAACGTTAAAATATTGAAAATGAAAATACAAAATGATTATGGATGTGCTAGGATCAGAGTAGGGGTGATTCTTTCATTTTCTCATGTTGTCCAAACTCTTGATAATATAGCTATATACATCTATAATTTAAAAATAAATTTTAGGGCCGGCCCGGTGGCCGCAGCAGTTAAGTGCGCACGTTCCACTTCGGCGGCCTGGGGTTCGCTGGTTCCGATCCTGGGTGCGGACATGGCACTGCTTGGCATGCCATGCTGTGGTGGGCGTCCCACATATAAAGTAGAGGAAGATGGGCACAGATGTTAGCTCAGGGCCAGTCTTCCTCAGCAAAAAGAGGAGGATTGGCAACAGTTAGCTCAGGGCTAATATTCCTAACAAAAAAAGAGAGAAAAAAATAAAATAAATGAAAATAAAAATAAATTTTAAATATGTTTGAGCGCATTATTCACCTAGCCTCAAGCCCAAATTTAAAAAGTCACATATAGGGGTCGGCCTGGTGGCGCAGCGGTGAAGTTCGCACCATCCGCTTCTCAGCGGCCCGGGTTTGCAGGTTCAGATCCCGGGTGCGGACATGGCACCACCTGGCATACCATGTTGTGGTAGGAATCCCACGTATAGGGTGGAGGAAGATGGGCACGGATGTTGGCTCAGGGCCAGGCTTCCTCAGCAAAAAGAGGAGGACGGGCAGTAGCTAGCTCAGGGTTAATCTTCCTCAAAAAAAAAAAAAAAAAAAAGTCACATATACTCCCAAAGTTAATATTATCAAAATGTTCAGAGCCTAGTAAAGATATTTAGAGCTATACCGAGTTTGTCACACACTCAATTGTGGCACTCATAATATGAAGAATAAAGTTAAATTCTAAGAATTACATCAGTAAATGTTAACACAATGAAAGACATCTATGAAAAAAAACCTAGCCTAGGAAACTCTTTGAAATCTTAATGGTGGCTTGAGATACACCTGAATCCAGATAAGATGACTAGAAACAAGTCATAAATGTAGATGAAAAAAGTTGTAGCTGAATTAACTTACTGAAATTTGGACAAAGACTAGAATAGCAGAGATGTGTGGGCGAGGTTAGTGGTTCAAACTTGAGTAATACACTTACATCTTGTAAAGGAAAAATTATGACCCTCAAATGTTGACCTATATTATTTTTTATTATGTTATTACTTTAATATGTACAAATGGAAAACTAGATATAAATGCCTTATTCTTATAGCTCCTCATACAAGTATAAAACCAAAGCAAATTTTAAAATTGAATATAATTATACAAAACTAGTAAAATTAAAATGAATATTAATGAGCATTAATTTAAGATGATGGATGATGTTTTCTGAAAAGGAAATTCAAATTAAACCCATGAGATACCATTTCCTACACACTAGAATGGCTAACATTAAAAACAATGACAACACCTACCACCTGTTGGCAAGGAAGTGAAGCAACTGGAATATTTACACATTGTTGGAATCTTTAAAATGGTAAAAAGCTTTGAAAAACCTGGTAGTTTATCATAAAGTTAAATATCACCTACCATATGACTCAGCAATTTCACTCCGGGATATTTTCTAGAAGAAAAGTGAAAATATATGTACACAAAAAGACTTGTACAAAGTCTTTTTATTCACACTATCATTATTCTTTCTTTTTTTGTGAGGAAGATTGGCCCTGAGCTAACATCTGTTGCCAATCTTCCTCTTTTTGCTTGAGAAAGACTGTCTCTGAGCTAACATCCGTGCCAGTCTTCCTCTACTTTATGTGGGATGCTGCCACAGATGGCTTGATGAGCGGTGCTAAGTCGACACTGGGGATCTGAACCTACGAACCATGGCTGCTGAAGTAGTATGCAAGAACCCAACCACTACGCCACTGGGCCAGCGCCCCCTCTTCATTCTTAATAGCCAAAGATTGGAGACAACCCAATGTCCATCAATACGTGAGTGAATAAAACAAATATGGCATGTTCATACAGCAGACTTGTACTCAGCAATGAAAAACAGGAGAATATCAAAGCCTGATAGTGCAGAGCCAGCTCCTGGCTGTCTGGAATGACATCTTCTTTCTCCTTGGTGTGGTGACCAATGCACCAATGCATTTGTCAAATACACCAAAGTATTTGTCACAACCAAATGAATGCATACATAAGCTTTTCGCATGTTATTGTATATAAATTTTACCTTAAAAAATATATAAACATTAAGAAATAGCATTACAGAAAGTCTGAATAAAGCTAATGAGCTGAATGTGTGTGTGATTGTCACTTAAAGACAAGTAGCACTGGCATCATGGTTGACCAACTGAAGGGAAAATGGACTGCAGAATTCAAAGAAGTTTTTCACTATTTGACAAGGACAGTGATGGACATCAAAAGTTTGGAAACGGGCCTGCCCAGTGACTCAGCAGTTAAGTGTGCACGTTCCGCTTTGGTGGCCTGGGGTTCGCTGGTTCTGATCCCAGGTGCGGACATGGCACCGCTTGGCAGGCCATGCTATGGTAGGTGTCTCACATATAAAGTAGAGGAAGATGGGCACAGATGTTAGCTCAGGGCCAGTCTTCCTCAGCAAAAAAAAAAAATAAAAGAGGAGGATTGGCAGCAGATGTTAGATCAGGGCTAATTTTACTAAAAAAAAAACAAAACGTTTGGAAATGATGATGAGGTCTTGGGCAAAATGCCATAGAAGCAAATTTTCAGGATAAATTAATGAAGCAAATGATGATGAAAATACTGCAATTGACTTTCTGGACTTTCTGACAATGATGACAAGAAAAATGAAAGAAACAGAGACAAAGAGTAAAGAAGAAATTAGAGAAATATTTCTTGTATTTAATAAGGATAACCTGGCTATCTTAATGCACCAGAAGTACGTCACACGATAAAACACCTTGGAGAAAATTTAACAGATGAAGAGGTTGATGAAATGATCAGAGAAGCAGATATTGACAGTGATAGTCAAGTAAACTATGAAGAATTTATGTCAATGATGTCACCAAAGTGAGAGAACATTGTACAAAATGTGTTGAAGTTCTTACACAAAAATGTTTATTTGTTTTCTTTTTCCTTTGTAAAAGGTTCTTCTTGCTGTCAAACGAATATGCATGAGTAGTCATTAAGACTTATTCCTCTATGTTTTTTTTTCCTTATCTTACTATCATTGTCTGGTACCTTATTTTAGAAAATGCATCAAGTAGCAAGTTGCACGTGGCTTACTAAATTAGTGGTTCTTGAAATTTTGGGGTTCAGCATCCCTTTACCTTTTTAAATTTTATTGAAGATCTCTAAAACTTTTTGTTTATATGAATTATATCTGCTAAAATTCACCATATTAAAAATTAAAACAGAATTTTTAAATATTTATTCATTATAAAATAATAATGAAACCATTACATGTTGACACAAATAATATATTTTTAAAATAACTATATTATCCAAGACAAAAAAATTAGTGAGAAAAGTGGACTCATTTTACATTTTGGCTTATCTCTTTAATGTCTGGCTTAAAAAAAGACAGCTGAACTCTCATATCAGCATCCAATCTGTTGTAATCTCACATTTCATATAGCCTCTGGAAAATTCCATTCTACATTAGTGAGATAATGAGAGTGAGAGGCAGACAACGTCTTTAATATTGTTATCAAAAACGTTTTCACCTTGTGGGACCCCCGCTCACACTTGGAAAATCACTGATCTAAACACTTTGACACATCTAAACTTAGATGGAGTTGGTCAAATGAAAGAACACCTAGGTTGTGCTTTTATAAAAACAGTTTTCTTTAGAAACAGTCAGCCTACTGTTGAAATGTAGAGTTTGAATCCTGCCTGAACTATGGAGAACCTACAATATATACTTAAAGTTGTGCTATTGCAAAATGGGTTTATTATCCAGGTACTTACGCAGCATGATTTTGTACTGCTGGTCTTATACCAGAAACTTTGTTGTCTATCGTTACTTGTTTTTTAAGCTTTGGCTTTTAAAGAAAATCTGCTTATGGCACTATTTACCTCAAACAAGTTATATATTTGATTTCCAATTTAAAAGTTACAATTAGCTTTGTGAGAAACTGCCATATTGTCTTCCAGAATTACTGTACATTTTACCTTCCCACCAGCAATGAATGAGAGTTCGTTTGCTCGACAGCCTCGCTAACATTTGGTGTTGTCAGTGTTTTGAAGTTCAGCCATTCTAATAGGTGTGTAGTGGTATCCTGTTTTAATTTGCAGTTTCCTATGATGTTGAGCATATTTTCCTATGCCTATTTGCCATCTGAGTATCTTCTTTGGTGAGGTGTCTGTTCAGAACTTTTGCTCATTTTTAATCCGTGTGTTAGTTTTCCTATTGTTGAGTTTAAAGAGTTCTTTATATATTTTCGATACCAGTCCTTTATCAAATATGTGTTTTGCGAAGATTTTCTCCCAGTCTTTGGCTTTTTTGTTTATTGTTAACAGTGTCTTTCACAGAGTAGAAGTTTTTAATTTTAATGAAGTCTAACTTATCAATTTTTTCTTTCATGGATCATATTTTTGGTGTTGTATCTAAAAACTCATCATCAAGCCCAAGATTAGCTAGATTTTTCACCTATGTTATCTTCCACAAGTGTTATAGTTTTGCCAGAGGTTGGGCTGAGGGGAAGGACAAATAAGTGGAG